CTGTATGTCCACCTCGCCCCAGCCGGGGGCACCTGTGGCCAGCTTCCTGCATGTCCACCTCACCCCAGCCGGGGGTACCTGTGGCCAATTCCCTGCATGTCCATCTCACCCCAGCCAGGGGCACCCGTGGCCAGCTTCCTGCATGTCCACCTCCCCTGTGGTCAGCTACCGCCCTCTCTAGCCTCTTCACCACACTGCTCCACTCGCGGGAGGACACTGCTTTCTGGAAGAGTCCGTCTGAGGCTCTGCATGAGGTTTCTTGCCACCCAAGTCTGCCCCTCTTTGCGGCCAGAGCCTCGGCAGTTAGAGGGGGACATTCTTTATCTCATATATGCTATTCTGTATCCTTTTGCCATGTACCCAGGCCAACTTTGCAAGGTCAAACTTGATTCTTACCCTATTCACATTAGAGATTCCTTCCACCTGCGTACTCCCCTGTGTACCTTCTATCCTCTCAGACTCATTACTGCATTTTTATGTTCAAAACTCCAGTCTGGTCTTTCACCAAGTTGCCTTGGGGCCTAGTGTCACATCATTGACTTTCCTGGTTTGTCATTTCCCCAAGATTTTGTGTTTTCCCACTAATGATGATTCCTGCATGCTGACTGATGCCATCCTTATTCTGGAGCACCAATGTTTGTTGTGAGATTATCCAGCCAAACAGTAGGAAAAAGAAACCCACCGCATGAGATAAAACAAAATAGGGCCCCTCAGAGAGGATGCTTAAACTCTACAAAGTTTCAGTTAGAAGGCTCTTTGAAAGGGTGGTTCTGAAGCCTTGTAAAAAACTTTCAAATGAAATCATGAGTTTTTTAAAAAAAATAAGTTGTCCTTCTGGGAGGCCAAAGTGGATAGATCTCCTGAGCTCAGAGTTTGAGATCAGCCTGAGCAAGAGTGAGACCCTGTCTCTAAAAAATAGCCAGGAGTCGTGGTGGGCGCCTGTAGTCCCAGCGACTTGGAAGGCTGAGGCAAGAGGATTGCTTGAGCCTTAGAGATTGCTGTGAGCTATGACGCCACAGTACTCTACTCACTCACAGGGTGACAGAGTGAGACTGTGTCTCAAAAAAAAAAAAATTAGTGATCATAAGGAACCAAAAAGAGCAAGATTTCATCTTCTTTAAATGAGAAGGTACAGCAGCAAGTATGAACGGGGGCTTTTGTAAGCCACTCCTTTCACATTCCCTTTTAGAATACATGTCTCTCCCCAGCTAGTGAAATAATAAAAAAATGGTGGAAGAAATTTCCCTCAGAGGAGAAGTGGCGCAGTAGAAAGGCCACTGCACCAAAGCAGGAGTCATTGGTGAGGAGGACACGACTCTCATTTGCTGGGAACGTGACTTAATCTTTCTATATGTTAATTCCTTGCGGATGAAAACAGCAGGTGTATCTAACCTCACAGGTAAAACAGATGTGAAAAATCGGGATGCTAGATAATGTCAAGTGATACTATTACTCCCTAAATTCTAGAAAATGATATTTTCAACTTAAATTCAAGTAACTTACTTTTTAACCTGAAGATTTCAAAGTATTTAATAAGAAGTATAAGATAAGCCCTAACAATTGTGTGAGTCAGTAATAAAACAATTAAATTAACATGGAAAGCCACATGAGGATCCTTTATAGCATTTACTATAACGAATTGCAAATCACACGGGAAGAGTGTGTAGAATTTGGGTTCACTCCAAAAGAGCTTTGCAAAGTAGTACCAAAAATTAATCAGCCCTACCCCCCCACCACTACATGTCTTCATCTTCGTAAGCTTTACCTACAGTAAAAGGATTTTATTAATTGCTAGAATAATTTATTCATCCTGTTTATTGCCTAAGTGTGCACAGAAAACTGAATCACATTAAAAAAGAATCACGTGGGTAGTCAAGGTCACGTTAACAAAGCAAGATATACATGACCCAACAGCTATGGGCTTTCCACTTGAGGGCAGCTGCTTCAGAGACGTGGGGGATGGGAGGAGTCTCTGAAGTTGGGGAGCCTTGTATAAAGTGCACATAATTCTTTTGATTTTTTTTTGCCCAGTCTTTCATTATTAAATAAAAAAAACATTATGTTCCATTTATAACTAAAATAACAATTTTAGATTATTTGAAAACGTTTTGCTGATTTAATACTACCATAGTATTTAATGGATAATATAAAACAAAATAATTAATTTTTGTTTTTTAGTTATTAGAAAATTACATTTATAGTTACTAAAAAATTACACCAGGGCTGGTGAGGTGGCTCACACCTGTAATCCCAACACTTTGGTAGGCTGAGGCAGGAGGATCACTTTAGGTCAAGAGTTTGAGACCAGCCTGGGCAATACAGCAAGACCCTGTCTCTCCCTCTCCTCCCAAATTAGCTGGGCATAGTGGTGTGACCCCCCTGGTCCCAGCTACTTGGGAGGCTGAAGCAGGAAGATTGGTTGAGCCCAGGAGTTCAAGGCTGCAGTGAGCTATGACAATGCCACTGCATTCCAATTTTAGTGATCGAATTAAAAAATTAAAAATTAAAGAAACTTTACATTTCTATCTTCAAGACTATTCTAAGTTTTTGTTTGTTTGTTGTTCTTCCAGGGTACTGTGACAGGGCTCAGCAGTTCCTAAAAGTGCTAAAAACAAAGTGGTAGATGAGCTTGAACTTAATGATTGTGAGGTCCTTAAAAAACAATACTGTGTTTTTAATGGAGTTACATGGAGTGCGAAACTAAAGAGGTTTTGCTTTCCCGGCACGTTCCTCACTTTGAAGTTAGAAAAGAAGCTCAGGCTGATTGAGCGAGGTGGGGGGTAAAGAACTTGCCAGGTTTTACATATGAAAGCAAATGCTTAGAAGGAGAATTAAAAGCCAGCGTACACTAAACTGCTAGTGTTAACGGATGCCAGCCGTAATCCAGACTCAAAAAGTGGAGTGTGAACCATTCAAAGCCACACTTGTCCCCTTGCCAGGAGCAGAGTCCCGCGCACCGGGGAGCAGGGCTGGGACTCATTAGTGCATCTTGCTCAGAATTCACTGGTTGGGATCCGTCACACGCAGCTCAGAGAGAGGCAACTTTTGAAGGTGGAAGGTACTTCACGACCCCCCACCCCGGCCCAAATCCTGGGGTCAGAGCAGAGCATGTTTCATGGAACCCTCATGTGACACATGGTATTAATAAAGTAAAAGAATATGTATACAAAAATAAAAGAAGGACTTCCACAACCAAATACGTTTGAAAACTTGAGAGATAATCAAGGTTAAACATGTTTCTTGGGCCTGTAAGCTCTATTCGGAGAGATAATTGTTGGACTATGGCTTGGTATTTACGTTCCCTGGGGCACATTTTGGGAGATACTGAGATAAAATATTATTACCCCCGTTCACACATGAGGAAGTTGAGACCTACGGAGGTTGTGTCCTAGAGCATTGGTTCTCAACCTTGCTAATGCCTCGACCCTTTAATACAGTTCCTTATGTTGTGGTGACCCCCAACCATAAAATTATTAAAATTAAAATTTTGTTTTTGGTAGTGCAGTCTTGGTTTATGGACATACTTGCTCATCTCCATTTCCTAATAACCAAGTAGGATCCTAACAAGCCTCTGGCGATTAAGGTCCCAGAAAGGGCTGCCACTCACAGAATTTGTGAATCTTTAGGAATACTTGAATATTTATGGAGCTTTTCAGAAGGGTCCTTAGTGGCGTGAAGTAGAATCACGGGGCCCTGGCTGGAGACACTAGCAGTACTGTTCTGAAGACGGATGTTAGCAGTTCTTCGATCAGCAACAGGACGGGTCACCCGACAGGATGCCATCGCAGCAGGCTGGCAGACTGATGCACTGCAGTGCAGACACACCGGTCCCCTGAGAGCTTGCTTTGCCATCGCAGGGTCCACAAAGCTAAAAGTAAAGATGCTGAAACGCCAGGGGTGGGAGGGAAATGGCAGGTTCAAGGCCTTCTGGACAGGGATCAGCTGGGTCTGATAGTTGTCTCCAGTGTAGGGACATCCATTCACCACTATTAATTTTATGGTTGGGGTGGGGTCACCACAACATGAGGAGCTAGGAAGGTTGGGAACCACTGTCCTAGAGGGTGCTGGAGAACTCAGGTCCACAGCTCCTAGCAAAACCTCTTCCCAGGGGATGGTCAGAAATCCAGGAAAAGACAAAGTGCATCCTGAGTTCTCTGGAGCATTGGTACCTTGGAAGGGTCTCGTAAAATGAGTACTTCTGAGATACCTGACACACATTCTTCCTTTCCCCGCTCTGCCAGGACATGTAGACCTTCCCAAATCAAAATTTACCTGATACAGGCTTGGCGCCTGTAGCTCAAGGGGCTAGGGCACCAGGCGCATACACCAGAGCTGGTGGGTTTGAATCCAGCACAGGCCTGCTAAACAACAATGACAACTACAACCAAAAAATAGCCAGGCGTTGTGGCAGGTGCCTGTCATCCCAGCTAAGTACTTGGGAGGCTGAGGCAAGAGAATTGCTTAAGCCCAGGAGTTGGAGGTTGCTGTGAGCTGTGACATCAGAGCATTCTATGGAGGGTGACAGCTGGAGGCTCTGTCTCAAAAAAAAAATTTTTTTTACCTGATACAAAGGCATGCAGATACTATCAATCCACTCCAGCTGCAATCGAGGCAGTTCATCTTTCCGATTCCGATCGAAAATAGCCTAGAATAGGGGAGGAGAACCTTGCTTCAGTGCACTGAAGTATTTTAAAGGTGCTTTGTCAAACACTTTGCCACAATGGTCCCATGTTTACAAACTGAACACTTCCAAATCACAATCAATCTTCATATGTACATTTCCCCCTTTCCTCTATGAGAAATAAGATATTTTAATAAGAAATAAGAAATCTCTTTCTTATTATAATAAGAAACAAGATATCTCTTTTTATGAGATGTGTGAGTAAATTTAATTGACTTTTATAGCATGTAACTTCTTGGGGTCAAAATCTGTCTTCAGATACAGGTAACTGCTGCTAAATTAAGTTCCAGGTCACTAGGAACTGGGTAAAGTCAAGGGGAAGGAGATGTCTTTTATTGCCACAAAAATGATGCAGGCTTTTATTTCTCTAATGAGAGGGTGGCATGGGATGGGATAGACTGGAAAGGACTCTTAAAACCAATTTTATTTTAAATAGGAGCCACTGGTATTTATTTTTTATGGTGGAGTGTTGGTTTGGCAATTATGTATATTTTCCAATAAAGTCCTGTCATTAATAGATTCCTAAATACTGATCTATCCTTGGATGTTTGATGGTAGGAGGCACTCATCTCTCTTCGTTCCCAGGCTTTAAACTTTATGATGTGGTAAAGTTTGAGATCATTTAGGTATACTTTTAAGAAAGTATACCTAAAAAAATGATGGATTTCTGTTAGGTAGATTTAATAAGGGAAATAATCAATTGGAATTGGAGGATTAAAATAGATTCCTTAAATAAACACTGACTATTCTACACCAGTGAGAATGTCCGTCCGTTTGTTCTTAAGGGAAAAGGCCAGGGCCTAAGAAGTTACCTTGTGATTCCTCCCCAGAGTGCTAGGATTGCAGGCATGAACCACCGCACCTGGCCAATTCATGTGCTTATTGGCCATTTACATATGACATATCTTTTTTGGAGGTATGTCTATTCAGATCCTTTGCCCATTTTTAAAATTGAGTTATTTGTCTTTCTATTGTTGAGTTATAATAATTCTTTGTATGTCTAGATACCTGGCCCATATCACCTGTATGATTTATAAATGATTTCTCTCATCCTATTGGTTGTGTTTTCACTTTCTTGAAAGTATCTTCGATGCACAAAATTTTTTAATTTTGATAAAATCCAATTTAACATCTCTGGACCAAACACCTCTGGGCCTTTTTATCTTTTGTTTTTTGTGCTTTTGGTATCATACCTAAGACGCCATGGCTAAAATGAATCCAGAAGATTTATAGCTACATTTTCTTCTAAGAGTTTTATAGTTTTAGCTCTTACACATAGGGCTACAGTCCTTTTTGAGCCTACTTTGAGGTACCATGAGAGGTAGAGGACCAACCTCATCCTTTTGTCTGTGGATATTTGTTGAAAAGACTATTTTTCTCCCATTGAATTGTCTTGGCAGCCACATTGAAAATCAGCTGACCATAATTTTAAGGGTTTATTTCTGGACCGGTCTCTTCTAATTAATACTTGATGAGAGAAAAATGGGTGTGAGAGCCTACATTGTCCTGTGCTTTCCCTTCAGAGCATTTTGTGATTGAGTATTAGTGATTATTTATCTAATGTTTGCGTTTCCTACCACTTGACATGGGCCTTCAGGGGAGGAAAGATGGCGTCTTGCTCATCGCTGGATATGTAGAGCCAGCTTCACACTGGGCACGGAGAGGTGCTCAAGCAGTCTTTATTAGCTGACTCACTGCTTCCTGTATTGACCCTCTGGCTATGGTCCAGATTAACTTTTGTCTTTATAAAGTGACTCCAGTGAGTGCTGGGACCATAATACCTGAGGGGGCTCCAGGGCAGTTTTCCTCCTAAATATCAAGGGGTAACAGACACAGCATTTCTACACATTTCTGGACCAGGACTAATGAGGGATAACCCTGCCACAGCAGCAGGCCTCCCTCGAGGGATGGTCACCAGCTGTGTTAAGTAGTAGCCTTTTGTGAGAAGACAGTAGCATTCTGAGCTATGTTTCCACCACAAAATTAATTTCATTTATGTCCTCAGAACACATCTCGCCTGAGTCCACAGATAAAGCCTCCTTAGTGCTGCACCACTGCGCCTGCCAGCTCACTGACTCTGGCAATTTGCTCATATATTTTTTTTTTTCATTTAATTAAATGACCTGTGGCATTGCTGCATTGTAAACCCTTTGGAGCAGGCCTTTGAAACAGTTTTTAAAGGGGGAAAATGCTCTTATTTGAAAGTAGATATGCAGCTGAAAGAAATTTGGGTTACGCATTTACTGTATCCAATCCAATCTAATCTTTATTTTAATAACTAAATTTGGTAACACCAGCAAAGAAGAACAAAGGGATTTGAAAATTGTATATATATTGGTTTGGAACAAAAAAGGATTAGTGTGTGTTCCAATCTATGTAATCTTCTTCTGACCTGGGTCATTCAAAAGTGACCCATGAATAGTAAAAATCAGTAAGACTTGAGTTCTGACTTTAAACAGGTAAAACTATTGAAGCTGGGAGATAGTTTTTGTGTTTAACTTCAGCAAAGAAGGGTCTCTTAAAAGTTGAAAGTCTTACAAATACCTCTAAATGTTCAAGACTTGTTTGATGTGAAGACTCATAAACACACATCTCCACAACTGACACATCCCTTGAGTTTCATTGAATCTACTGTGCTGTGCTAGGCTTTAAAATACTTAGTGCCCCTCTCAAGGGTCCTTGGGTTATATGTTTTTAGCTCATCATTCATTAGGAATACTGAGGCCGCCGTGAGGGTAGGGACTGAGGCACTTAAGTTTTTTGTATCTTGATGCGTAAAGACTGCTTGGTCTTGAGCCTCTAGTAAGCATTCTCAAATAATAATTTAATGAGTGAGTCCAACAGGCGTGGCATTCCAATCATCACAACCTAGTTCCCCAAGTGGAACTTGTTTGTTTGTTTCTTTCTTTTCTTTTTTTTCTTTTTATTGCAGACAAAGAAATGAAACAGATTTGAAATGATTTGCTTTGGGGATTTTGAAAAATTTGAAATTAGAAAATAAAATCTAGCTTCTCGTGGCTGGGCGGCTTGCCCTTCATTTTTCTGCTGTGTAATATTTCTATTCCAAAGTAGGCGTGTCTGAAATGCCAGGACTGCGCTTTGAATTATTCAAATTCTACTTTGCATTTGCACTTCCTCCCTTGTGCCTATTTGCCCCACGGTGGGTGCTCAGCAAATGCTTGTTAAGTAGCTCACCCCTCTTAATCAGAAACCTGGGAATAACAATGTTTAGCATTTACATGTAATTAAAGCTTTAAACTTTCAGGAGTGCTTCCTTAAATCCATTCTCAGTCTTTTTCATTTCCAACTTGTGACTTGGAGTTATTTTTGAAAATGTCATTCAAAAGGGTAAATATGTGATAATAAAGAATGAACTTACTGAAGGAGTGAGCTTGAGCTCCGATCTCTCCCGATCTCCTTGTTCAAAGAACTCACTGGTTACAAGTTCAGCCACCTGAAACATATTAATTTTAATTTATGTTTGTGTGTAGTTTATCATGAGATTTGGAAGCTGTTTCTTGCTTATGTATCTGGTAATTATCTTCAACACAGGCAATCATTTAAAAAGCTTACGAAAAAGTACATTAACCTTTTGTGTTCGAAGGTATTAGAGAATGTAATCAATGAAACTGATTTCCTTTCAATCAGAAGATCTCGTGCAATGTATTTTTAGAGGCATGCCAACAGACAATCTCCCATAATAGAGCTTCCATATTTGGGATGAAGCACTAGATTGCCACCTTCAAAACAGGAGAAGATTTTATATGGAAAAATGAAACAAATATTAATTTGATAAAAATTTATATTATTTTTATATATTGTTATGTCAGAATAACTTAGCCAACTTCTGATTATTCCTGTTTAAATTCTTTACGTTGTTGCATACTTTTCTCTTTGCTTATCTTCATCTTACTACCGTAAAAACTCCTTAACTCCCTCCCTACAAATACTTATGTGTACTCTGGGAGGGATGACCCCAGGGCATACCTTCTTGGCTGCTGCTTGTAGCAATCAATCAAGAGGCTGGATTCACGGTTCAAACCAGACTTTCACAGTATGTTATGATATAGTTTGAGGAACGTGATTTGTTCTTCAGGCTGTCTGGATCTATGTACTGAAAGTGTTAATTTATGGCAGACCCGAGTTGGTACAAGCACAATGGAATGGTTGTTCTACCCCAAACCACAGAGGCCTATGTTTTTCTACTTTTCATTCATTAGATCAGCAGCTACTGATCATCGCCAAGCAAAAGAGGTTTTTTTTTCTTTCCCACACTAGTATTTCTTATGACAGTTTGTGGGAAGAAAATGCATATATTGGACAAGTGTTGAACAGGTATTTTCAGCAATCCTAGGGTGTGCATCTAGGAAATTTCTGAAATGAACTAGTTGGATTTATGAACTATTACAAGAGTAGAAAAAAAGTCCAAGACAACTTCATGGATTTGTCCAGAAGACCTGGATATCCAAACTAATTTTTCTCTAGTCTAGGCCTTTATAAAGATAAGGTTTTTAAGTCTGGCAAAGATGAGCTGGGCTTAATTTAAGCCAAGTTCATAGAATCAAGATAATCACCTAAGTCTATCTCTTAAGAGACGTTGTCAACCATGGGACCACAGATAGAACTTAAGGACACCATTAAACACATAAACACACACATGCACAGCTACACCCGAGAGTGGCAAGTATGCGCTCATTATAATACATAACTTGAGTATCCAGTAAGTTCAGACTTCTAAACTTCTCATGTGAAATATGGGTTCTTTTCAAGTTTTGAACCACATGAAACTGCTTGGAACTGACTAAAATATCTCCCTCTCCCCGACCTCTGGCTCCAGTGACTTCACTTGTATGTTTTCCGGGACTTGATTGGCTTCTCTCCTCTGCAGTCTCTGCGGCTACCTTTCAGTTCAGCACATCAGGCCTCCCTCTCCTTTCACTGGCCTTCTTTGAAGAAGAAATGGTCCCCTACGGGTATGGCCTCATTTGTTCAGCTCCCAGAACTCTCCCTCACGTTGCTCTGGGCTGGGTCTTTTGCATTGAAGAATGTAAATGTGCACATCAGGCACCGAGGTGGGGGTCCTGGGCAGGTCTGTAGCCCCTGGAAAGCAGCAAAATGGAAACAAAATCCTGTCCTTGCTCTTTCTGCAGCATCGCTCCTGTGCTTCTTTCGCGACTTAACTTGTGTCACTGCTTTGTTTGTACTTAAAAACCCAATCAGGAACATGAAGTGGCTCCTGGAGAATTTGACATTAAAGAACATTGAGTTGCTGGTCGGGCCTTGGGGGATCACAGGGAAACCCACATGCTTGGAGTCATGGTTATGAGGAAGGAAAAGTGGAATACACCCTGGTAGAAAAATGATTTGAAAGGGAGTTTAAAAAAAAAATCAACATACAGGAAGTTAGAAATATATTATTAAAAGAAAGATCTTTTGTTTTGTCCAAATGTTTCCTAAAATTAGGAAACGAGTACATTTAAAAAAAATACCTTAACCTATATCATTTGGAGACAAACATGCATGAGATCCCCAGCTTAGAATGTGAATTTAGCTTTCTGATGGAAACATTTGGAAAAACAATGGTTTTGTGTTTTATGTCCCTGAACTTTTACGTTTCTGCACTTATCAGCAGAACTTCACATCCTAAAAATAAAATAATATTTATACTAGTGTCTAAGAAGACCACCTACAGGCAGCGATTAGGCCTCCCAAGTTGGTCTAAAATATTATTGCAGAAACTTTTTCTTCCTTCCAAGTACTTTGCCCTGACACTATCCTACCCCAGTGGGCTGATGCTCTTCCTGCTTTTCTTTTCTTTTTTTTTTTTTTTTGCAGTTTTTGGCTAGAATCGGGTTTGAACCCAGCACTCTCGGCATATGGGACTGGTGCCCCACTCCTTGAGCCACAGGCGCTGCCCTCTTCCAGCTCTTGATAGGCATTTATTCCACTGGGGTTTCTAAAGGCCCCAGCACATCTCACTTCACCCTGTTCCCTTTCTGGTCTTCTTGATTTTTCTCCTAGTCCTGCTAAATTCCTTGTACTTTCCATCCCTATTTGGTTCTATCCCTATCACAGCAGCCACAGTGCTACACTTTCCGCCCATCCCTGGAAAAGCCTCCTGCCTCTGCAGTCTCTTCTCCATCAGAAGTGAGGCCTTCCATGTGGGGCGAGTGAATGGTGGGCAGAGATGCAGAACGATGCTACTCGATCACACAGGTTCTTCACAATTACCCTGCTTAATGTGACTTTGAGTATATCACACGGAAATTAAAACCAAAGCTCAATTGGAGGAGGGCTCTATAGGAAAACTACCCAGTTTATATTGTACTGTGATATATAAACCTTTATTTGTGTCAAACAGCTGAAATTTTAGAATGTATTTGTTACTGAAACAAAATCTAGCCTAACCTTGCCTAATACAAAAACTTGAGGTGTAATCCCTTCTTGGTCTTTTGGCTAAGATCAAGTGTGGAGGTGAGGTGCTGCTGGTCAAAGTAAATAAATAGAGAGAGAGAGAGAGAGAGAGAGAAGACCCTAAAATATGTGTCGTCAGCTTGAGAACTAGGTATAAGACAGTGACAATCCATGGTACACAGTGGCAAGATGTTTGGTATAATTATCACTAAAATAAAGCTAACCGTGTTCTTAGTGACCTTATAGTCTTAGAAGAGATTGAAAAACAAATCATCAGTAGCACGCAGTGGTTGCTATTGATTGTTTCACTATGTATTAGCCGAAGCGAATTCAGAAAAGGATCAGCAGGCTTATAACCAGGAATGAAAGAGAATAGGAAAAGTCATCAATTTAAGGTCTTGTAGAGATGGAAGACGACATTGCTTCTCAACTCCAAACCAGGAAAATGAAAATTTAGATATGCTGTGAATGACAAAGGTTGATCAAGACTCAGCTTTGCAGGAAGATGCAAATTGAAGCTATGGCTATTATACCTATCATTATAAATTCTGAATGAATTAGGTCCGTTTAACTGGACCAAATATGGCTTAAAGAAATGACTTAACTACATGGTTCTCTTACGGAAGTCTTTCAGGCTCAAGGCACTAGGAATTAAGTCACAAGAGAGAAAAAAAAATGTATTTGCTATGTTTCTTTATTCCTGAACGCAAAGAAGCAAACAAATAGAGAAAATCTATAATGTTTATATAGAACTGTGACTATGGTTATTGGTGAATGGAAATGACGAAATGACCAGAGTCAAAGATGTTAGAAGCTGTCTAAGTTTCAAGAGAGTTTTAACAATAAAGAACCCTGAGCCTGGGACTGTGTCAAACAAGGTTTGGGCTCTTAAACTTCTCTAGGTGAGAATCAGGCTGAGAAAGCAGCTTGACCTTCAGGCAAAGAATAATTTCCTAGGGAAGAGCTAAAGGTCGCAAAAAATAATGAACTGGGTCCATCTTCCAGAGACTCTCAGCTGACCACAGTTGCCAATGCCCCCACAGTGAGTGCCCAGTGGGATTTCGCAATTGCTGCAGCTCCCAACTGCCCTAAGTTGCTCTTCTCTTTGCTTTCTGAATGGGAGTGTTATAAAAGGTGTTTTGTGTTTGGGGTGTATGTTAGACGCCTTATTTTGATAGTGTGTAGGTCTTTAAATTGGCATTCAGATTTGATAGAGAAACTAACATGTATCACCCAGAGATTCTGATTTTGAATTTGATGCCGAGACTCATGAGACATTTGGTCTGTCTTCCTTGGAAAGAGGATATTTTGTCTGCAGAAAGGAGAGTGAATCACATTTTTGGTGATTAGAAGAGCACCCTTTGGTAGTTATATTCTCACCAAGTATTTCTGCATTCTCTCTGGACAAATGGAAGGATTATACTTCCTGGATGGGTAGGGTCATATGACAAATTTTGTCCAATGAATTGTTGCAGGAGTCATGTAATTACCAGTGGGAGACCCTCCATGGCCTCTGCCAGAATGATCCATCAGCCCCTGTGCAGGATGGGGACAAAGAGGCACAAGCCAAGCCCAGTGCACATGTTCACGAGCAGTTTGTTGCGTAAAGCCACTGAGAGTTTGGGTTTACTGACGACATAGTCTATTCTGTGGAAAGGTTCCAGCACTGAAAAATGATGATTGATACATCCTGGGTAGGAAAGCATCAAATGCTATTAAGAATAAAAGCTCTGGAGCCTAATCTGCTAGGATCTATATCGCGCTCCACCATCTACGAGCAGTATGACCTCTGGTTATTTATCCTTTCTAAGCCTCATTTTTCCCATTTGTGAAGTGGGATAATAACTATATTTGTTTCCTAAGCCTGCTGTGAATTACCACAAACTTGGTGGCTAAAATAGCAGGAATTGATTCTCCCATAAGTCTGGAGGCTGGGAGGTCTACATCAGCTCGCTGGGCAGAAATCAAGGCATCTGCAGAGATGAGCTCGCTCTGGAGGCTCGTGGAGAGCATCTGTTCCTTGCTCCTTCTGGGTTCCAGGGGCTGGCAGCATTCCTTTGCTCGTGCATCCCTCTGATCCCTGCCTTGCCTTGGCATTGCCTTCTCCTCTCCTAAACGTGTCACCTGTTCCTGCTCGCTCTCAGAAGCACACTCACGATCGGATTTAGAGAATACCTGGGTTATCCAGGCTACTGTCTTCAGGCAAGACCCTTAATTTAATCACACCTGCAAAGACAGCCTTTCCTACAGGGTAACATTCATAGGTTCTAGGGATTAGGACTTGATATCTTCAGGTGGCCATTATTCAGCCTACTATAGTAAGTAAACCTACCTAAAGGGAGATTTTTCAAGATTAAATGAGATAACATACACAAAATAGTCAATCAATATTATTTATTGATACAGAAAAGATATTATATTTTTCCTAAAACGTCTAGTTTTAAGATGGCAAGTTACTGTTTTGGCCCCTACAACCCACACAGTAGGAGCCTCATAACACTTAATGGGCTGTTAATCTTGAAATACTATGGAGGACCAAGGATGGTAAGTTGGATAGTAATTTCACTGGAAATTATTCTTGCTACAGGACTCATGTTTTGTGGCAGAGAAACTGGATGGGTGGTAAAGGCAAGATTTCTTTTCTACAAATTAAATTGGATACTGAACATTTTTTTCCATGAAGCTGTCTGATATCTAAATAGTATTTGAAAAGAAAAGAGAAATAGAATTTTTTATCTTTTTTCTTTTTTCAGATGAGAAAAGCAGGAGGGCCCTGTGCTAAGACCTGATTGCTTAGCCAAAAACACTTTTGAAACTCTTGCCATAAGAAATGGTCAAAGCGTTGTTCGGATTTAGCAGGTTAAAAAAACCCCAGAGTCAGAAATATTATTGCTCAGTGGAGGCAATAAAGAAAAGGCTATGCAATAAACCATGTTGCTCCTAAGCCCCCTGCTATTTTTTACACTATGTTAATATTGATGCAAATCGACTAGGGTTTCAGCGCCTGGTAGTCAGGGCTCTGGGAATACTGTCCCCCCAACCCCCCTCCTTGGCTGAGCCCTGCCATTAATCACCACTTGCCTGTCTTGAGATCTCCCACGGTTTGGTCACGGCTCCAAGGTCACAGGCTGTCATTAACATTGATCTGAAAAACAGAACCAAACAAAACAGCCTGAATAATCTTTTGTTGCATTCCTAAACAAACCTGTCCTAGATACATAAATAAATAAAATGGAAAGGAGGCCGGCTCACATCTTCCTTTCCTCGACAAGGGGCAGCACTGTTTATAGTCCCTGTGCTCAGGGGCTCTGTTCTGTGGCCACACTGTCTAGGAAGACAAAGCTCTCACACATCCTCCCGCGGCCCTTTTGTTTGGTCTGCAGCAAATCAAGGAAAGCGAAGCACTGCTTTCTCCATACCTGGGCTAAGCAAGCTCTGTTTAAAATAATTTATAATGGACAATACTACTGGCTTTTCGTTTTTAAACTGTAAGCAGCAGAATCAGTATATAACATTATATACATGGTGGAGGAAACTATTTACCAACTTACCACTGATGAGAGCACAAGCAAACACGTACCAAAGAGCCGAGGTGCACGCCACGTGAGGGGCACCTATGTTTCCATCTGCTCTGCAGAGCTAAGATTTACGGGGGAGAGCCACACTGTCTCGCTCCAGTTTACTACTCGGCGCCTACCACGTTTTATAATCATTATGAAGGAGAAGCACTCAGCTACGAATTTCATTAATTTGAGCACATACAGAAGCGTAGGAATGATCTGAAACCAATTTGGGGGGACAGATTTAACTAGGATTGACATTAAACCACAGAAACACAAGGAACGATTTAAATTGTACATAGCTCTGGTACTATAGTTTGATGAGACATGCTCTTTGTCTCAAATCAGCTTGCTTCGTGCTAAAGCTGGCAGTAGGTGGTGAAAGGTTAACACAGGATCTGAGCTGGGTAACCACATGGTAGCTTGCTGCTTTGGGGAGAAAGGGATGTGTTGTTATAGGTGACAGGGCTGTCCTGATGTCAGGTGTTAACATTTCATCCCCTGCCGGATCTGAACTCCTTGGAAACATGTCTGCTGCCCAGATGGGAGAGCATGCCTAGATGGCAGGGGGCTGTGTAACATCCCCAGGACGCCCCTGCAGGGAACAAGGCAGACTGTAGATAACAATAGGTCATTCAAGGCACAGCCAGGCAGCACCAGCATCTGCAGTCCTCGCCCTCTGGGATTCAAGCACCTTTTATGAAACATTTAATTCCAAACATCCCAGTGTTAAGTACTACATATGATGACCTGACTACTAACTAAGTACTAACTAAATAAATCCTCATCACAACCCTACAGGTAGGTGCTATTATTCTTAACTTTACAGGTAAGTAAACAGAAACATCGAGAGATTAAGTAACTTTCCCCAGGTGAGCAGAGGATTCAGAATTCTGCGCTTATGGCTAAGCTGCCAGATGCCTTCCCGCCACCCTGTGACGCTTCTCGTTTTAGGTTTTGCTGTGAGGATGAGATGTGGGTGATGCAGGGTCTCTGCTGGATGGGAAATAATCTCTGTGAGGATGCCTACTTGTGTCACAACTTGGATGATTTGATAGGTTCTGTCCAATTGATAATTTGAATATTACCTCTTAAATTTATATTGCCATTAGCTAGTTGATCCATGAGTTTATTATCTTCAAGGTGCTCAGATGATAATTCCAATATCTACTATTTATTGGGCTGCCACTACAAGGTGATTGACAGAGTCTCCATGTTAATCTCTAAAGATACTACTATTTTCTCCTTTGTATAGATCGAAAATTAAGGATCAGAAAGGTTAGGTAACTTGCCCAAGGTTAGCAGGAAGTGTAAAAGCTAAGACTGGAATCCACACAGTCTGATGGCAGGATCTCTGCCCCAGGGACGACAGTGGAGCAGAAAGTCTACACAGAGAGGGAAGACAGGAAGGGCTGGGAGGAGGGTGGTGGAGTGGATGAAACCTTCGTCCACTTGGCACGGGGAGTCAGTTAAGGCTGAGGACTCAGGAGGGACCTGGCTAGACCTTTAGGCAGAAAACTTGAGGTGTAAATGTGAAGACAGCGCGAAGAAGAAGAGAATGGAAAGAAGGCGGCCAGTTAGATGCATAAAGTGAAACATGGAATGAGGAGTGGAAAGGCAAGGACAAGGATGGGAGAGATTACAAAGCATGAACTGAAGGAAACAAAGGAGCAATTTTATCTCAGTTTTAAATCCAGCTTCTGCAGGAAGTGAAAGCTCTTTTCCAGAGTAAGAAAGCCGGGAGGAGGTCTGTACCAACCGTTTTAGTCTTGAGGTGCCCATAATTCTAGTTCAACATATAGGTAGGTTGTGTCAATCTGTTTAGCACAACGGAATGAGTGGTCTGGAATAAGGAAGGCATGACTATCTCTGTCCTGAGTGGGAAAAGGCAGTGGGGTACCCAGCATATCTGAGACTTGCAGCAGATTATTCTTAACTTGCCTCTTTTCTATATGCCAAATTTTTTCAATAATAATCTTGTGATTATTATTATTAATCACTACCTTTTTGATTTGTTCTATAGTTTTTAAACAACTGGCAGATTAAGAGGAGTGCATTTTAATTTCAAAGATCTATTCAAATTTAGTAACAGATTTCATGTATGAACTGAAATTTTTACTTAATGAATGAAAATATTACACCTTGCAGTTTGCACTAGGTGCCACTGTTTTAAATTTTAAATACAGATAAAAATTACCAATAGTCATATTAAATGACAGGATGGAAATAGCACAAGTTATGTTTCTTCATTTTTATCAGTTTTTATCATTTATCGGGCTATCCTTGTTTATCCTGAATATAGTCTTTAAAAGCAGGAATATGAGATTCTGCAAGGTTGGAGACACAGACTCCACCCAGAGCGTGTTCAAAAGGTTCCAAACAGTTGAGAACTTATTCCTGAGAGCAGGTAGCTGAGTGTCCCTGCATTGGGGATTGACTGCACAACTAAGAATTCTTGGAATTAATTTACAATACAGGTACAAAGAAAGCAGAAATACTGAATATGAGCTAGTTGGAAGTTTTTATGTCAATTATTTTGATTCTCAACAGTAACCTCAGCAACTGTTCAGAATGTGGACCAACCAAAGATGTCTTTCAGGAGGACAAGCTCATTTAGAATTGACTTCATTTAGAATTGCAGGCACTGGGGAACATGAAAAGTAGACTGACTTTTAATTGGTTTTATTACTATTTTTAAATTCTCTATGGATAGTACTTCATCACAGCCCCAGCCCTGGTGCGCTATGGTCTAAGGGTGACCATGAACGGAAGAGGGAGGGAGGGCATGGGGGACGCACCTCTGTGGTACATACTGCTCTTCCAAATAAGGTATTTCCTCCATGTGGGGTTCGCTGCCAAAACGTTTGAATATATCTACAGGAAAATATCCAGGTGGAGATATTTACGGAGGACTGGCATTTTTGAAATGGAGCTGAGAAGAGAGGCGAAAGCCCAAGAAGCAGGTTGCGGCAAATATGGGAAGGGAAGGGAGGTGAAACCACAGGATGATGAGGAAGGAGAGGAGGATCAAAAAGAGGTGGTTGGGGGATAGTGACGCCCGCGGTGGGAGGGGAGAGAGGAAGAAGGGCGAGAGGAAGACCAAGAAGGGAAGGGAGAGTCAGGAAGAAAGGAGGAAATCCAGGAGAGGGTGGCTTTGCAGAATTCAAGGCTGGGGAGAGTTTTAAGCAAGGAAAGGCACATTCCACTTGGCCCTGTGAGAGATCAAGGAAGCCAAGAGAACAAAGCCCGTAGCTTTAGATACTGAAGAGGACCAGGGACTGTCAAAAGGAGCAGAAATCACATTTCACAGACTTAATTCCTCAGCAGAGGAAGAGCTAAGTGCCCTGTGTTTATCCGTGTTTTGGAATGACAAAAGAGCCTGAGATGAGCTCATGGCAAGAATTCTAAGGCATGTAGTTGAGTGAAAAAGCAGGTTCACCTTGGTGTGTAAATATATAACTTATGTGAAAGGGAACAGTAAAAATCCACGCTAACCAGCATTTTTCCTCAGGGAACCCATCTATGCAAATGCTTTGGCAATGAAGTGGAACGCACAGCAGACTGGTACCGCAGGATGACTGTGAACCGGTGCGGGGAGGTCGTGGAGCGCCAAGGAGACTGGGGGGTTTATCTGCAATGTTTAACTTGTTACAGAAAAATGCATTCATATAATTACTCATGGAATTAAAAATTATACCAGAAGAAAGAAGTTGCCTTGCAAGGAGTTAGGGGAGGTGCGGGGAGGTGTGGGAGTGAAGAGAAAGCTGCGATGCCACCGGGGAGGAGGCAGGGGAGAGTCCTGATATTTGTGACTGGGGGGTGTTGTGGTGGAAGCATAGTTGCAGGTCTAGGAAGGTCACGACAGGAACAACAGATTTTGAAAATGGAAGCTGAAGAAGCACCATAGCAAGGCTGGGGGTGGGTATGGGGCAGGTGGAGGGAAGGGAATTAGGACCTGTGTGGAGGGGCTAATCTTGAAGGGAGGAAGGGTATCTCTCTCTCTCTCTCTCTCTCTCTGGAAAGAATGAAGAAAAAGTCTGCAAAGATAACGCAGAGAAACACTGGAGAGGGCAGAAATAAAGAGCCCCCTGTGGAGAGGGGTGTGGGGTCCGCTGCAGTGTGCAAGGATGCAGACTGTGTGCTGAAGCTGGTGGCAGAGGTGGGATTCAGCAGATAGGGGGCAGTGATGGGGGTCACACTTGGGGGATTCCAGTGGTTGCCTGGGGTGGAGCTGACCCCGTGTGCCCCAACCCTGGCCTCACAAGCTTTCCCAGCAAGACTCAGCAGTGTCAGAACAGAGACAGGACAGCAGAAGGTCCAGCACGGGTGAGGTAGGATGGTGGGGGGAGAGGGCAGGAGAGAAAGCGGAACAGCGAGAGAGAGTAGTTAGAATATGCCACCTCGGCTGTCCCTTCTAAGCAGCTGGGCAGGAGTCCTGTGCAGATTCTGGATTACAACAGATTCTTCCCCCACCAAAATTGTTCTGACCGGTTCTCGGTCCACAACGCCTATTGTCTCTAAAGAAACCAAAAGGTAACTGTCCGCTTTCCTCTCTGTGCCGTGTAACTGATTTCTAAGCCTCAAAGAGCCCTTCTCCTCCCGCCTTGCACCCCCTTCCCTCCAGGAAAAAGAGGAAATCACGGCTTGCTGAAGCTAAACTAGCTTGCACACCATTTTCTATTCTTGAAGGCAGATTTGTGAAGAAGAGGCAGAAATGTAATAAATTATAAAACCAAAAATGCATTTTCTATGTTTTCTCTAGTGATTCAACTAATCTCTGACTGTTTTGAATGAAAGCTAAGATCTGTCACTTTAAAAATCACTTCCATGCTCTTACCACTGTGGGGACAGTGTGGCTCAATGCCCACATAACGCAGAAACACACACGTAGGAGCTTTTTCTTACCGAAATGTATCACGATGGTTTTTGATGTTCCAATCATATTCTCCTTTACTGACAAGTTCGAAGAATTCTGTTCTCCTCCTGCAGGAAAATCAAATGAAGAAGAAGAAGAAGAAAAAAAAAAAACCAACCTGGAATGAAATTTCTCAGTCCGTGGGGCAACATGAACACATTTATGGGAAAAATATAAGACCACCTGAACCAAGTGACTTCATACTTGAAATCGTGAGGCAAAAGCACTATCAAAATAAATCACTTTTCAGAAAAATATGGCTGCTTCAAGAAAAAGCCACAGTCATTTCTGAATGTATTTACAACAGAGGAGATTATGGAGCCATAAAAGAGAAAACAATGAGGTGCGGCATTTAGGATTATGTGAGGACACTTCCTGAGAGTCGGAGAAGGGAGGCAAGGACGAGCGAGCGGAAAGCACGATGCCAGAATGTACTTTCAGCCTGGTGCGGAATTGAGCTGCACGATGATCCAAGATAAGATAAACTCCTTGGTAGTAAATTCAAGATAGATATTTTTTCCCCCCAGGTTAGAAAATAATGATTTCATCATTTCAGTGCTTAACCACATAGACTCTGAAGTCAGAAAGTGACTGTGCTTAAATGCTGGCTCGGTGACCTACTTGTTGCGTAACCTTGAAAAGTTACTTCAACTCTCTGAGCCTCAATTTCCTGATCTAACAGGGGCATCTAACTCAGAGTTACTGGGAAGACTGAAGGAGAGGACGTATGCAAAGCAGGTGTGCACCACCCCCCATCCCTGCCTGTTCATTTGGAGATGCATAGATACGGAAAAGACAGGGAAGGAATATTTTAATGTTGTGAACATAGGATGCTTTCTATTGTCAAGACTTTTGTTTATCTTGCTATATTATTCCATTTTATAGGGAAAAAAGGAAAAAAGAAGAGGACAACACTGTTTCTATTTAAGAATCGTTTCCCAAGTTTTCATCCTCGTGGTGCTTCCCCATTTCATCCCCCAAATGCTCATGTGAAAGTGTGCTCCTTGTAATTCCCTGGTAGGGGGGAAAGCCTGTTTAACCTTATTTAACCACAAAACTCCACACAGTACTGATGTCTTAAAAAATACACTTTGAAAAATGCCAGCAGGACATGTCATTGATGGTGGAAACCCGAGCAGGATCTTGGAAATTTAATGAACATTGACCCATTGTGGTTCAGGGGACAAAGGACACAGTGCTGAGAATAACTGGCTGCCTGTGTCTTCCTGGGGTGCCATCACTGCTGACCAAATGTTACAGACGTCTTGTCAAGCAATTAGGTTGCCTACTCAATTTACTGGAAAGGGGGCAGGTCAGGAAGACCGATGTAGGGTATAGCTTACTTCCATATTCCAGACAAAGGACAGGTCCTGGATCTATCTTTTCATGCTCATATATGTCAAGATCACCCTACAGTATGGGACATCTCCAAGACAACCTTATAGCAGCTGGCAGAGATGGCATTGCACAAGTGCACAGAAGGGCCCAGCAACCCTCCCCCTTTGGGGGCACTGAGTGCAGATTCTTTCTTTGTATTACCTTTACCACCTTCTTTATTTGGCCCAGTCCCTTCTTCATGACCAGGGCCATGCCTTTTCCGCATCACCATCACTGACTGTGAACTGAAATAGAAATAGTAGTGGAATGGAAAGAGCCTCAGTTTAGACTCTCATTGATCTGGGCTCAGTGTTTGCTGTCATCTATTAGCCCTGTGATCCTGGGTGAGTGACTCCACAGTGCTGAGCCTCAATTTCCAGTTTTGCAGTGAGAATCTGAGGTAAGGTGTGCTAAGTGCATGGCGCTGGTAGATACTAAATACCTGATCGTGATGGTTAATATACAAATGATATAAATAGTATTACTACACGAAGAGCAAAGAGTTCACCCAATTCTCTCCTCTTACTGAATAGAAATTAATCTTCTTTTGAATTATTGAGAGAAGAAAGTTGGGTTCAGTAAATATTTATTGAACATCTACTCTGTTTCAAGTCTTATTAAAGTTCATGGATACAAGACATGACTGCTACCTTTACACCTCTGAGTTTAGGCAGGGTAGCCAACAAATAAATGATTCCACCTTCAAATGATCATGATTCTGGGACTAGAGTGACGTGAGAGAGGTGTTCACTCTGGGCATAAAATTTAAGTGGGTGCCTCAAAATTCAGTAAACAAGATAAATATTTTGGTGTGATATTTTCAAAAATCAAAGTAAATGCAAAAAAATCCTTGATGAACAATATAAAAAAATTCCAAATAAAGACAAAATTTTAAATTAAGACAGGACTCTTTGCAGGGCTCACCTCACCTATCTCATCCTAGTCCCAGCCCTGGTCAGGCTAATATTTATGGGGTCTTTACTGTGTTTCTGGAAGACTTTGTGGGCTCTGTCACTTACTACCTATGTGACTGAAGTTGAATTATTTAACTTTTCTAGGCTTCAGTTTTCTTATTAGTAAAAGAAAAACAGTAACAGGATCTACCTTGTAGTGCTGGTGGGAAGATTAAGTGAAATGGTGTGTGTAAAAGACTTAACAAAGTGCCTAGAAAAAACAGATGATCAGTAAGAATTAGTTACCGTTCTTAAGCTCAGAGGGCTGAGTAGCTGGCCCAAGGTCTCACAGCTGCTGAGTAGCAGGCTGGGATGTAAAGGCAGCTAAGGTGCCCAAGCGGTTAAGATGTGCCCTGGGTGTCCAGGGAGCACAGATGAGGCCCTTTGCTTAGCTTGGAGGATCATGGAGGTTCATAGAAAGCTTTCTGGAATTGCTGGTCAGTCATCATCCTTATCATCTTTTGCATTTGGGTGGTCATTTCAAGTCTAGGAGTTATTCCAAGAAATGACAAGAATTTAAGCTCCATAAAGGCAAGGGCTTGCCCATTTTTGTTCACTCCTACAAAACCGTCTGACATGAAGCAGGAACTCAATAAATATTTGTCGACTTGATGAATGAACTAAAATGATTATTTCAGAAAGCTATTCATTTAAAAAAAAATAACTCTTTAGCTACTGGTTTCTCCTTGACTTTCTTTGTTTTAGGGACTTCACAGTTGCCACTTGGAGAGATGGAGATAAGAAAACATCATAAAATTTAATCAAGAAAAGTGCTGTCAGATTCTTGCAGACTAGCTATTAACCAGAACCATGTGGACAACATGATGAGTTGCAGGACATAACAACACCATTCCTGTCCAGTGTCTGACCAAGTCTCCACTGACCGTTGTTACAACTGCCAAGGGTTTGTTCGACACACGGAACATAACATCTTTGATGCAAAGTGAAGACATGTTACCTAGGGCTAACTCATTGAAGAAAACAAATTCTCTTTTTTAATGCAACTCTACCACATGACAAACAAGAAGCACTGTAAGAATAAATTCTCAGATGATGGACATTTTAACAGCTAGAGCCAGTGGAGTGAAAATCTTAAATCAAAACCAAACTCAAGATCAGTCACAGGCTCCACATCACATTAGCAAAGCTAGAACAAAAGAGAACATCAACTATTCTGAGCAAATGGC